ACTCTGCAACAGCCGTCCCAATTATCTGAATATCAAACAGATGTAAATGCAAGGCGACCCAGGAGTATTGTGTGTATGTATTTACATGGTGCAGAATTCAACAAATACAACTATAATGTGACAAGACCAGACTAAAAACCCTGCATGTCATTGTCAGCTATTCTGCTTAAACATGCATGAATGACAAAATAAATTTTGAAATCAGGTCAAAGTTACCTAAAGACAATAAGAGAGGTGCAGCTGTGTACTTAACCAGGTCATTTCTATTGTGTTAGAGCAAATGATGTAATTTAATTGGTTGGGAGGTATACAGTATGGATAACATTTATTGTGGGGTTCATAACCTTTCTAAACCCCCTGCATGATCCCACCCCCACCCCACCTCCCCATGATCGAGAATCAGCTTGTTCCAGATTCTGACAGCTGACACTGCAAAAGCTTGATCTTCGCTGTGCTTTTATTTAGCCTTCAACTGTAACAAAAAGCATATAGCTGGAGGATCTCTGTGCTTTGTTTGGATCCTAAAAGTCAAGTAGTTACAACAAAAAATTGGTAGCCAAGCTATTTATAACTAAGTAAAAAATATTTTAAAAACATACAAAAATGAATAGATGAAGGAAACTGCAGGTGAAGGAAAGCTGATTGTTAAAGATCAACATACAGAATGAAGAATTGCAATAATCCAGTTTAGAGGTGATGAAGGCATGGATGGAGGAGTTTAAATGAACTGTCTGAAAACACTCCAGAATTCTAAACAATGGAGGAACTGAGGAGCAAGTAGGCAAAGAATATCAGCAAATCCATTAAGAGGAGTATGATTTCCGACAAAAGAAAAAAAAACTTCTGTCTTGTTTTTGTTTAAGGTCAGACAGTTCTTATTTAACTAGTCTGTGGCATGTTGTATGCAGTGTAACAGTGACTGCAGTAGGACAGGGCCTGTTCTAAATGAGCTTTGGGCTAGAGAGCAACATCTCTGGATAGATTTCCCTTTGCATGATAGAGCTTTAACCAGCATTTGTGAATTAAACTGTGAGCTGTGTTGATGAACACAGGTGAGTTCTTGTAGTAAAATCAGTAGGAATACCCAGAGTAGGCCCTGTCCTACTTAGACAGAAATTTTTCCTGACTGGTAGCTCCACATGGCTACCTCAGGAGATTCAAGAATATCTCAAACATGCTTTAATGAGTCAAAGCAACACTCTGGGTATGTTTGATGACGGAATGAAATTATAACATTATATAAAGCTCAAAAAAAATTTTGCATAATACCGCCCATTCCCATTTTTACATTCAACATTTTAAGAATTAAGCTTGCACTATTAAATAATAAAGTGCATTATGTAAACACTGTCATCATTACACGCTGTGTTTTTGTGTTTCTGTTTCAGTACGAGGAGATCCAYGTACCTCCACCTCCACCTCGTGTTYCTTCAGACTGTATTTACTCCAAAGCTCAGCATCCTTACCCCAGGCTGCCTCACTACTGACAGACTCACCTGGACAGCTGGACTGAACAGAGTATATTAAAGTACTTGAACAAAGACGACTTCAGGGAAAAAAAGGATTTTGTTCTGCTCAKGAAAAAGAACTTCTTCAGAATTTCTGGACATTGAAGCTGAGAGGAAGGTTTCATGAATTCCCTGTTAGATTCAGTTCAGAAGACGTAAACTCAGACAAACACTGGGGCTTTTTGTCGAAGCTGAAGTGACATTATTTAAAGATGGATTAGAATTTAWGGAGGATAAAGTTTACAGGAAGCTGTGACCTGCTATTAATGCATTTTAACTTGTAAAGATAAGACAAGACAAGATAAAACATTATTGATCCCACAGTGGGGAAATTTGAACATTACAGCAGCTCAAAACAGTGGAGCTGCAGTAACAGGTTGCCTGCTGTGGTACCATCCTGGAAACTAAAAACCACACAAGGGAAGGGAAGATGAGGAAAAAAACAAAAATATCATATTATATCAACACTGTGACACTATGGAGTTTATAAGAAAACAACCTCTGCATAGGGCAGATTTATTAGCCAGAGGAGTAATTGAGATTAGGGGGCCCGAAGAATCCAGTCCCCAAAACCAGTGCAGCCATAGTTCAGAAATATTGATGGTGAACTGTTCATACTGTGTGGCCCTCAGCCTGCTCAGAAAACCAGATCAAACGGGAGTGGGGGGGCAGAGCCTTGTCGACGTGTTACGTGTTCCAGCCAGGAAAGATTTAGTCAACAGCTCAAGGCCGTTGTCGGGGAGATCCAGATTCTGTAATCAGTTGTTTTGGGAACAAAAGGGACAGGCAKACAATAACAATTTTCCATCTGCTTTACTGTCTGCTGGTACATCTCAAGGTGGCGAATCCAATCAGGCAAAATGGTGTGGACAAATTCCGCAGACACGATGTATCATCTTTTTCCAAGCTGAATTCCATCTGGCCAGCAAAGTCCAGGGACCACAGCCGGCCCTCAATAGAACCGCTTGCAGACCGAGTCCAGCTCGCTCAAGGTCCAATGTCAGAGTGCTGATAGAATACGGCCATCCAGTTGGTCAGTCAGCCAGAAAGTGAAAAGCCACCGACGCTGTTTTGTAGAACACCAGGAGACCACCAAGCCAAACTGTAGAATCCAGTGATTGGAGTCCAGATATATATCCAGGACAGAGAAGAACAGAGGTACCACCTTCGACATGTCCTTCCATGGAAGAAGAAAAATAAACTTTGTTCCAAAGATTTTATTAAGAGACCAACTAACCAAATCCACAAAAATAAAAATATCCATAATTTCTAGTTTCGGATGAAAACGTAGAGAAGGCTCCAAGCAGCAAAGCAGGGAAAGATAAGGAAGGGCAGGAGAGAAGGGAAAAGCGTCTTACTCCTCCGAGGGTGGAAAGAAAAAAAATGTTTTAAATAGTTATTTGTATTTTTGTTTGCTTGAAATATTCTTTCTGTTGCACCACATCAGTTTGTACTGTTGAACTCTGATCTATACTTAAGATTTAAAAAAGTAAATGTGTAACACAGTTGTTTTTTTACCTGCAGCTTTAAAAAAATGAAATATAGATTTTTTTTAACTGCAAACAATTAAGAAATTAAAATATTGATAGAAATTACAAAGACAATCAAAATATTTGAAAATATATTCATTTGTCTAAATTCATAAAATACAATTTTGTTTTTTATAACTATAAAATTTAATCCATGGTGTTTATTTTTTATTTAGTCTGTTTTTGATTTATTCTTGGCTGTAAAAAGAAAATCAACAAGGTTCTGCAGAATTATTTCAGTTTGTGTCTAAACAGGTTTTGTTGGGTTAAARCTTGAAACCCATCCATCCATTATMTTCCGCTTTGTCCAAAGTTGGGTCATGGGGGCAGCATCTTGAGCAGGGAGGCCTAGACCTCTCTTTCCCCAGCCAGCTCTTCTGGGAGRACTCCAAGGYGTTCCCAGGCCAGCCGAGAGACATCCAGCGTGTCCTGGGTCTTCCTCAGGGTCTCCTCCCCGTTGGACATGTCTGCAGCACCTCCATAGGGAGGCGTCCAGGAGGCATCAGATGCTCAAACCTCCTCAACTGGCTTCTCTGGAAGTGGAGGAGCAAAACCAAACTTTAAACCTAACATTGCATAAAAGGTAAACAAAAAAAATTAAAATATTTGCCTTTTTTTCTCAGACTGCAAAATGGAATCAAACTGAAAGAAACCACAGAGATGTGTGTGAGAGCAGAGATCAAGTTACCACAAATGATGGAAACTCAGCAGAATGTTTGACAAAATATACTGTAGATCAGCCAAACCAACTGAGTTTGTCATACAGTTTGTACATGTAGGTCCAGCCACAGTTAAGATGTGCTCATTTCCACAACATATAATTTAGCTGGCACTGTTTTGTTTTTCTGCTGCACTGTGGCTGATAGACAACCAAGTAATGAAAACTCAACCTTTGTACATCACAAATCTTGAAGGTGGATTAGTCTGCAGCATATCACTAAAGTATTTTCTGTAGAGGTGATCAGGAATGATAGACACTGCAGAGCCTTTGCATTCATGGTCACTGCACAATAATCTTGTCATCTGTTTGTCAATTTTATAACATTGTCAATGTGTTCATTTAAAGAACAACCACTTCTACTTTAAAGGTGCAGTAGTTCTGGGAAAACTGTGGGGTTAGCATGAAAGTTTGAACAAATACACCTTAGAGGCCCCTCGCCTTTGTTCCCTGCTGCTCTACAGCCCTGCCTCCACAGCTTCAAGGTTGATGTAATTAAACATTTACTTTAGAAACCTGATCTTGATTCAGGAGTTCTGGCCAACTAAAGACCTATGTCTAATCTCCCATTTATCCGAGAAATTCTTGAGAAAATAGTTGCAAATTAATTATATGAACATCTGGATAGAAATAATGTAAATGAGGAGTTTCANCTGGGCCTCCCTTCTGAAGCTGCTGCCCCCGCGACCCGACCCTGGATAGGCGGAAGAAAATGGATGGATGGATGGATGGATATCACTAAAGTATTTTCTGTAGAGGTGATCAGGAATGATAGACACTGCAGAGCCTTTTCATTTATGGTCACTGCACAATAATCTTGTCATCTGTTTGTCAATTTTATAACATTGTCAATGTGTTCATTTAAAGAGCAACCACTTCTACTTTAAAGGTGCGGTAGTTCTGGGAAAAATGTGGGGTTAACATGAAAGTTTGAACAAATACACCTTAGAGGCCCCTCGCCTTTGTTCCCTGCTACTCCACAGCCCTGCCTCCACAGCTTTAAGGTTGATGTAATTAAACATTTACTTTAGAAACCTGATCTTGATTCAGGAGTTCTGGCCAACTACAGACCTATATCTAATCTCCCATTTATCCGAGAAATTCTTAAGAAAATAGTTGCAAATTAATTATATGAACATCTGGATAGAAATAATGTATAAGAGGAGTTTCAGTCAGGGTTTAGACCTCATCATAGCACAGAAACAGCACTGGTTAAAGTTACTAACGATATTCTCATGGCCTCAGACAGTGGACTTGTGTCCATTCTTGTCCTGTTAGATCTCAGCGCTGCATTTGATACAACTGATCACATTTTATTACGTAGATTTGAACTTGATATTGAGATTACATGAACAGCTCTAAAATGGTTTGAGTCTTATTTAACTGATAGATTTCAGTTTGTTAATGTTAATAAGGAATCTTCTTACACAAGTTAGTCATGGAGTTCCTCAGGGTTCAGTGCTTGGACTAATCCTCTTTACTTTGTATATGCTTCCATTAGTTAAAGTTATTAAACAGCATGGGATAAATTTCCATTGTTATGCTGATGATACACAGTTATATTTATCCATGAAACCTGATGAAGCTAATCAGTTACTTAAATTACAAGCATGTCTCAGAGACATAAAATCCTGGATGACTCTTAATAGATAAGACAGAGGCTGTGGTTTTTGGACATGAACATCTTAGGGATCAACTTTGTAGCCTTTCACTTCCTCTGGATGGCATTAATCTGGCCTCCAGTTCTAATGTAAAGAAACTTGGTGTTATTTTTGATCAGGATATGGGACAATAAGATATTTAATATAYGATGGAGCTTGGTTGTTGAGATGCATGTTAGGAGTAATATTTTAAATTCTAGTCTGAATTTGACAGGGAGCCAGTGGAGAGAAGCTGAAACTGGAGAAATATGATCTCTCCTTCCAACTCTCATTAAAACTCTAGCAGCAGCATTTTAGATTAACTGAAGACTTCTTAAAGAGTTTTTTGGATGCCCAGATAATAAAGAATTACAGTAATCCAGTCTAGACATGATAAATGCATGAATCTGTTTTTCTGCATCATTTTTAGACAAAATATTTCTAATTTTAGTGATATTACGCAGGTGGAAGAAGGCGGTCCTGGTAACATTTTTAATGTGGGGSTTAAAAGACATGTCCTGATCAAAAATAACACCAAGTTTCTTTACATCAGAACTGGAGGTCAGATCAATGCCATCCAGAGGAGGCGAAAGGCTACAAAGTTTATTCCTAAGATGTTCAGGTCCAAAATCCATAACCTCTGTCTTGTCTTGCTTCTTTGCTTGGCCTTCAGAGGAGTCGGACGCTTTTTGCTCTCTCTCTCCCGAACCACCCCTCSTTTCCTGCTTCGCAGATTTTTCAAGCCTTTCTTCACCTATCATCCATAACAAAAAMTGAACCATGGATCTCATCAACTGGTCTCTGAGCACAATTGATACTATTTTCTCCACATTGAGATTGTAACCAGGGGAACGTAGCTGTCCCAGTGGAATGGTTGCAGCTGGTCGGGTCACTGGTTCCTGGGGCTGGAACCTGATCTTTTTGACTCYGCTTTCCATTGAAGACATGGAAGATTTGTATGTATTTGGATTTATGATGACTAGATTCCTGCTGATCGGCTGTGGTGGAGTTCTGTGTAATAGGAAATTGAAAGCGATCCTGACAGCAGTCCGGGTCTGTGAGAAGCTGTCAGAGAAATTGGATGGAATCTCCCRCACTGGAAACAGACTCAGATGCTGGGGCAGATTATTGTGTTTTTCCAAACTGTAAAAAGGTAGCTCAACCTGTGTTTGCACAAGACCTGTTCGTCTGTTCACCCCATRTTTGTTATGTGTGTCTTTCTCTTGAACGAAGTGTTCTCAGCTGCARTTTTGTTCTGCATTGCATCTCTGATGTGTGTGAATGACAAAGCTGATTCTAATTCKGATCTGAGTTTAGAAGCAGAAAATTAAGAGTCATCCASGWTTTATGATCTWTGAGACATGCTGATGTGACACAGCAGATCAGCAATTGCTTGTAGAGTTCCTGCTTATCAGGCAACATCGGTCTGTCTTAAWGGAGCCGTCAGAGGCCTGAGGTCAAAGGACGTTTTCTTGTTTATTCCACTTGAGGTGACCACTACAGCTGCTTATCAGGCAACATCTGTCTGTCTGAACTGCTGCTCTCCAGATATGTCTAAACACTAATGTGCAGATTACAGAAGTCCAAGCAAAAATAAAYTGCTTACATTCAAGCTGCTGAAAAAAAMCACAGTTTCTACAACAAGTAATCCTGGCCTTTAACAAAATTAAATGCTCTTGTTAATAGATAACAGCCTTATTATGTCTTTTAGATTGGTTTGTGGAAGTGCACAAAACATTTACTTAATGAGATCGCAACACCTTTGGTTTCCTTTAGTGAGACATTGTGATTAGAAACCACCAAATACTTCCTGCTTACTGTCTGACTGAAACCTTTGATCTCCTCTGAGTGGAAACAGCATAGAGTTGATGAAGCTGTTGAACATTAAAAAACATAAAGGTTAGTAAGTGAAGGGGATTTC